GGGGGGGTGGGGAGGGAAGTGCACGGGATTATGGTGATGGCACACGGGTGATTTGGTGATGGGAAACCCATGGGGATTACAATTGAGATGGAAAAAAAATGTACAAAATGATGTAAAAATAAACTGTTATAAATTAAAATAAAATAAATTAAGAAGAATATTTGAAAGAGCACTGAGCCATTTAATTTAATCATTCTTTTGGGGTGAATAAATAGCTCATACACGGTGAATGGCTGAAGTTGGGATATAATAGGCTATGATCTATTGGAGAGAGACTATAAATACATGAGTAATTTTAGATAGTGGTAAGTACTGTGAACTAAATACAAACAAGGAAATAAGTAATGCCTTTCAGAGTACTTTGCATCAGATGATCAAAGAAGACTACCTTAAGGAAATGACATTTAACTGAGTAAAGGAGTTGGGCATATAAAACATATAGGGGAGGGTCCTCCCTGGTGGTGCAGCACAAAGAAGCTTAAGTCATTTCCGCATGAGTTCGATCCCCGCCTGTCCTGGAGGAGACCACATGGCGCTGCAGACCTCTCCTGACCCGCCCACTGCTCCCCTCAGCAGCGTACTTGGTCGATCTGCCTGTTCTGCACCACACTCTGTCTCTGGTGAATCCTCTCACCCTCCGCATCTCTGGCCTGTACCCCAGTTCTGTACGAATAAATAAATCTTTTAAGGAAAAATTAAAAACAAAACAACAAAAAAAAAACCATACAGGGGAAACGTATTCCATACAGACGAAAGAGTCCTGTTAGAGCCCCTAAGATGGGAAGGTGTTAGCATGTTCTAGGAACAGAAAACTGACTGAAGCATAGGAAGGGATTATGGGAGAGAATAGAGGTGCAATTAGATAGCTAGGCAACAGCTAGCTCTTTAGATCATTAAAATCTTGGAAAACCATGATAAAGAGTTTAGACTTTATTTTAACAATTAGAAATGTATTTTGTGATGTTTACTGATTGATATTAAAATTTCTCCTTTGGCTGAGAACAAGCAAGAAAACAAATAAAAAACCTGTTAGGAGTTTGTTACAGTAGTTTAGAGAAAATTTACTAGGTTAATCTACATAGTACAATTCTTATGCAAATCCCAGCTGACTTTCATGTAGGAACTAACAAATTTATTTAAAAAATTCATACAGAAATGCAAGGGACCTAGAATTGACAAATTTTTCTTGAAAAAGGACAAAATTGGATGCGTTACACTTGGTGATTTTAAATTTACTAGAAAATTACAGTAGTCAGGACTGTCTGGTATTGCCTTAATGACATATAGATTAGTGGAACAGAATTAAGACCTTGAAATAAACCCTTACATTTATGGTCAATTGATTTTTTTTTTTTTTAAAAGATTTGTTTATGCATACAAGAACTGGGATACAGGTCCGAGATCCAGGGGTGGAGTGAGAGGATCCACCAGAGACAGAGTGAGGAGCAGAACAGGCAGATCCATTGAAATACACTGCTGAGGGGAGCAGTGGGCAAGGAAGGAAAGGCCTGCTGTGCCATGTTGGTCACCTCCCTTGCCGGGGATCAAACTTGTGTTGCAGTGGCTGTGGATCACCTTATAGTGCTGTGCCTTAAGCCCTTATGGCCACCAGGGAGGCCCCAAGGTCAGTTGATTTTTGAAAACTGTGTCAAGACCAATAAATGAGAATAAAATAATTTTTTCAATATAATTATGGGACAACATAAAAATATGAAGTTGGCACATGTTGATACCACCCACAAAAATTAACTTGAAATGGATCATTGACCTAAATGTGAGAGCTAAAACTATACAACTCTTAGAAGAAAACTTGGGAGTATATTGTTACAATCTTTACTTAAGTAATAGTTTCTTAGATATATAACCAAAAGTACAAGGTAACAGGAAAACAGTAGATATATTTTGGACCTCACCTTTTTGCTTCAAATGAAGCCAGCAATAAAGTGATACAATGAGAGAAAATAACTGAAATCACATATCTGATAAGGGGCTGTATCCATAACACTTAAAGAACTTAAAGTACAACTCACCAATAAAAAAGATATTCCTGTAATGGGAAAAGGATACAAATAGTTCTCCAAAGAAGATAAATGACCAATGAGAACATGTAAAAATACTCAATATTATTAGTCAATAGGAAAATGCAGATCAAAGCTACATTGCACCACCTTTTATGGTAAAAAGGTGGATAGTAACATTGTTGGCAAGAATGTGGATACATGTGGAGATGCTTATACATTGCTGGTCGGAAAGTAAAATGGTATAATCACTTTTGAAAACAGATAGTGCCTCAGAAATTTAAAGTTACCACATGTAATTCTATACTCCAAGGGAATTAAAACCATGTCTATGTAAAAATTTGTACACAAATGTTCCTAGCATCCACCTAAAGGAAACCACCTAATGTAGACCAGCTGATAAATGGGTAAACTGAATGTAGCCTCTCCATATAATGAATGTTATTGGGCAGTAGAAATGAATAAAGTACTGATACATGCTACAAAATGGATGAAGTTTGAAAATGTCATGCTAAAGCAAAAGAAGCCAGAGACAGAAGGCCATGTGATCATTTGTGTGAAATGTCTAGCTTAAGCAAATCCATACACTGAAAATAGATTACTAATTACCAGGGAATGAAAGCAGGGAGGAATGGGAGTGACTGCTAATGGGAATGGGGTTTCTTTTATGATGATCAAAATGTTTCTGGAGTCAGTGTTGATGGTCACAACTCTGAATAGTAAAAGCCACTCAGTTGTATAATTTAAAAGGGTGAATTTTATGGTACTTAAATTATATCTTAAGAAGCTATTCTAAATGTTCCTGGAATATTGTTTTCAAAACTGATGTAATTGTCCTTAAAGTTTCTTAGACAGATAAAGAGAATAATAAACTCAAAATTTTCAGAGAAGAGACTTGTGGTTTAAGAAGAAATTCTCATAGGATATGTCGATGATTTGGAGATCGGGCGCAGTAGTTTCCAGTGACATGCTTTTATTTCCTTCTCTGTTATCTAGCCTATGGATGACAGCCTCATTGCATTCCGAACGCGATCCAAGATGCCTCTGAAGGATGTTCCTCTGGGGCAACTAGAAGCAGAGCTTCGAGCTCCAGACATCACCCCTGACATGTATGACCCTAACACGGCAGATGATGAGGACTGGAAGATGTGGCTGGGGGGACTCATGAATGATGATGTGGGGAATGAGGGTAAGTGGTTTTGTTTACATTTATTATCTGCTACCTATGTGGTAAAATTTTCATTAGATACTTTAAAAATGGGGTGTTTTGGTTAATGGAATTAAATTGTGTACTTAACTCTGAGTTTAATTTAAATAAATAGTTAATTTGCTCCTTCATCTTTTGTTTTTAGTTAAAATCTTTGGGAATCTTTTGAATGCCAAGAGACCTCCCTGAAGCCTAACTTTAACTTAAAGCTCTTTATGATGTAAGTGAAAAAAAATACCCAACTATGAAACCAGACTTTGGGAAGGGCAGAAAAAACATGTACTGGATTAAGGAGTTGTTAAAACACACCTTCCCTCTCCACAGCTATATTCTCTACTTTTTTCTCAAGCATATTTTTTTGTACAAGGCTGGACCTATAGCCATAATGTTTGTTTCCATGTTTATTTCTTAGTTTCTTCCTACATCAGAAAGACTCTCTTAAGGCTCCAGTTTGAAAAATACAAGGAGATTACTCAGATTGGCTTGTTTGGCTCACATGGCCACTTTCTTGGTGTTGTGTGACAGGGACATTGTTTAACTTCTCAGTCCTGAAGTGATTGGCAACACCTCGAGAACAACATGGTTGGAGTAGACAGTTATACAGAAAAAGTGGTAGTTCCTGGCAGTATTGATCAGACAAAAAATGTTGACTGTAGGCATATATGGTTCTAAGAATCCCACTGCAAACCTTACTTGTTTTTGAATATAAGTAAAAGAGGGAGGTGAGCATAGTGGAATATGATGGAGAACTGTGGGCACTTTGTTGGTGGGAAAACTGTGGTGATCACATCTGAGGGGAGAAATCTTATATTGTGGGAAAAAATACCAAGACAAGAATGTTTAAAAGTAAAGGGTTAAATAATTTAAGATTTATGTTTACTTATTTATATGTATAAGAACTGGGGTGTAGGCTAGAGGTGCAGGGGCTGAGAGGATTTACCAGAGACAGAGTGGGGAGCAGAACAGGCAGATCTATTGAAATATACTGCCAAGGGGAACAGTAGGTGAGATAGGAGAGGTCTGCTGTGCATGTGGATCACCTCCCTGGCCAGGAATTAAATTCATGCTACAGTGGCTGATGACAGCTTAACATCACTGACATTTTAATCCCAAATAAATAAAAAATTTTAAAACAAAATATATGTAAACGTTCTTGCCGTAGTACAGAAAATAAACATTGTGAAATTTATCTTTGATGAATTTTTTTTTTTAAGTGTACTTTAGTGGAAGTCAGGCATCATTCATTGTTTCAGGCAATAAATTTCCGTAGATACAAGAGATTGACTTAGTTTATAGTGCCACATTCTTTTGATGAAATCAGGGCAATTTTGTTATTGTTCTTTCCTTTTGATTCTCTTCAATGAGGAGTGACCAGAATATTCTTATTAGTGGTATTAAAGAAGGCACATACTTAAATAAGAAATGCTATATAACTGAAACAAAGCAAAGTCTTGCATTTTTTTTTTAAAGAATTTATTTATTTATACATACAGAACTGGGGTACAGGCCAGAGGTGCAGCGGCAGTGAGAGGATTCACCAGAGACAGAGTGGAGAGCAGAACAGGTGGACTGATGAAGTCCACTGCTGAGGGGAGCAGTGGGCAGGTCAGGAGAGGTCTGCTGTGCCATGTGGGTCACCTCCAGGGTAGGGATCGAACTCATGCTGAAGTGGCTTTAGCTTTTTAGTGCTGTGCTTTAACCTGCTGCGCCACCAGGGAGGGCCCAGTCTTGCATTTTAAAAAATATTTATTTATTTATGCAAACAAGAACTGGGGCATAGGTCAGAGGTGCAGGAGTTGAGAGGTTTCACCAGAGACAGAGTGGGGAACAGAACAGGCAAATCTACTGAAATACACTGCTGTGAGGAGCATCAGGTGAGACAGGAGAGGTCTGCCACGCCATGTGGGTCATCTCTCTGGCCAGGGATCGAACTTGTGCTGCAGTGGCTGCTGATTGTTTCATATTGCTGTACTTTAACCCATTGTGCCACCAGGGAGGGCCTGTCTTGGATTATTTTAAAAAAATTATTTTTTTAATTTATGAATACAAGAGCTGGGGTATAGGCCAGAGGTGCAGGAGGTGAGAGAATTTAACCAGAGACAGAGTAGGGAGCAGAAGAAATAGATTGACTGAAATGCACTGCGAAAGGGAACAGCAGGTGAGACAGGAAAGGTCTGCTGTGCGGTGTGAGTCAGCTCCCTGGCAGGGGATTGAACTTGTACTGCAGTGGTTTCCAACAGCTTCACAGTGCTGAGACTTAACCCCTGCACCTCCAGGGAGGCTTGCTTGCGTTTTTATGTGAACAGAATTGTCCACTGTTTTACTTCAACCTCTAGACAAATTTATTGCTACTACTTCTGGATCAGATCATGTCCAATCAAATATTACAAACAATGTAGAGATCACATCTTTATTCTTTTCCCCATCTTCCAAGAACAATCATAAGATTTATGTGTTAAAAAGAAAATTCTACTCCCCACCCCCCATCTCCATCCGTAATGTTATTGAGCCTGCTATTGAGTGCTATTGAGCCTGCAGGTCTGTGGCAAGCCAAGATCTGGAGTTTAGTCTGAAGGCTGGGGTTTGTAAAAGTTGTCAAGAATAAGGCCTATTTCAAGAGATTCCAAGTGAAGTTTAGAAGACTAGATCTAGGGCAAAACTGATTACTGTGTTCAAAAATGCTTGGTAATCCAGGGGGGAAAATAAGTATGACACCCCAATATAAGATGATAGTTCCTGTAAACTACAAAGATGTCATTTGTCAGATTCCTTGTCTATAAAGAAAGAGATAGCTACTTCATGCAGCTTTTGCACATGAACTCCAGAGTATGGTAGAGTGCTGGCCTGACGCATTATGCTGCAGCATATTGTACTGGCCTGCTTCTGACCCGCGGGCTTCTAAATAGTTTGGGCATGGATGAGATCTGTGAAGGTGAAATAGGAGTGAGTGGAGACAAATACAGTGTTGAAAGATTGATGGTCGGCCAAATGCCTACACTTGCTATTTGAATGCTGGCTTGTCAGAACATTGGAAATAAAGTTTTGGGGACTCCAAAGGGAACTAACTGTAGAGGTTTTTCTGGAGGCTTGTCTGTTCCTCATAGGATTCCTGGTTATGACTCAGCAAGGAATTCAGTGCAGAGGTACATCAGAAGCACATGGGCCAGAATGTGTTTGGTAGGCCAGGAATAAATCAGAGAAGTGAGTAATCAAAAATAAGTCCTTTTATGAGACTATTGATAATTATATCAATGAATCATTTTGCAAATGTTTAGGGAAGTAACATACATCAGAAGAGGTTTACGAGTAAATCATATACAAAGTTGTAAGCTATTGTTATCTCAGTAAAAATAATGCAATTAAAAATGTTTATGGAATACTTTCCTCTTACAAAGAATTGCTCTGGGATCTATGAGAAATAAAGGAACATAATCATTTTATCAGAGGAAAAAACATGTATGAATGGTGCCTAGCTCTTTGTTAGATATGCAATACATTTCAGATGAATTAAGTTGTAGAATAAACTCAGCACTGGAGTGGTATCAATTCTGTTTTGAGGTTTTGATTATTTTTTATTAAGATTTTTTTTTAAAGATTTATTTATTCACACAGAACTGGGGTACAGGCCAGAGGTGCAGGAGCGGTGAGAGGATTCACCAGAGACACTGGAAGTACACTGCCAGGGGAGCAGCGGGCAGGTCAGGAGAGGTCTGCGCCATGTGGTCCTCCGGGGCAGGTGGGATCTAACTCATGTGAAAGTGGCTTTAGCTTCTTAGTGTTGTGCTTTAACTGGCTGCGCCACCAAGGAGGGCCCTTTTTATTAAGATTTATTTATTTATGCACAGAAGAACAGGTAAGGCCAGAGGTGGGGGGCTGAGAGGATTCACCAGAGACAGAATGGGGAACATAAAAAATGTATGGACTGAAATACACAGCCGAGGTGAGCAGTGGGCGAGCCAGGATAGGAGATGCCAGGTATCAAACTCATGCTTCAGTGACTGTGAGTAGCTTCAATGTGCTGTGCTTTTAACTCCTTGTGCTACCAGAGAGGCCCGCCTGTTACGAGGTTTTAGAAGAAAGTTGGGATTTCTGTTTTGGGATAATCAGAAACAGGTATATGAAAGAGAAGATATTTGAGAGAGACCTTTGAAAGCTATTGCTGATAGTAGTGACAGAGAGAAGGCAGATGAGAAGGGATGACATTACGTAATGAATGTTGTGTGTTCTGTAGGGTAGAACTTCCTAAGAGTTTTCTTCTTTTCCTCTCCTTTCTTTTCCCTCTTAAGAGTAATACAGGCTTGGTGTAAAGAAGTTAGTCATTGTTGGGCCCTTCCTGGTGACACAAGGGGTTAAGTCTCAGCAGTATGAAACTATCAGTAGCCACTGCAGCACAAGTTTGATCTCTGGCCAGGGAGCTAACCTACATGGCACAGCAGACTTCTCCCGATTCAACTGCTGTTCCCCTCAGCAGTGTATTTCACCTGTTTTGCTCCCCCACTCTGTCTCTGGTGAATCCTCTTACCACCCCTGCACCTCTGGCCTATACCCCAGGTTCTGTATGAATAAATAAATAAATTAACAAATAAAGGAAATCAACCATTGTACAAAAAGTTGTTCAGGTCTCTTCTCAATAGTGATTATATTTTTGTGCCTCTAAAGGACAAAGGCTGAGTTCTCAAATATAAAGTTATCTTTAATTTTTCACATAATGTAACAATAGAAATAATTTTAGCCCTATAAATTTATGACTTACCCATATATTCAGACAAGACAAATAGCAAGAAGCAAATTGGTTTGAATCATTTTTCTTCTTTCCACCCACTCTCTATAACAAAACTGCTAAGCAACAAAATGCATAAAATGATATGAAGGAGAAAAATATGAAATTTGAAGTTGAGTCATCAAAGAGAAGAAGCGATTTCTGGTTATCCCTTTAGTCTTTCTGAAAGGAGTTTAAGTGTTTGGCTTTTCCAATACTCCTTTGAGAATCTGATGATAGCTATGTACCCTCTCCACAGAAAAATACACATATCTATACATATGAAGACTTTTTCACGTGGTGTTTTGGGGGTTTATAAGTCTCTCAATCCATTTATTTATACTTTTCTACTAATGCCCATAACAGCAAGTTTCAAAATCTCTGTATCAAAGAATGTTAGGGACAAAATGGTTTTACCCATTTTTTTAAATCTCTGAGAAATTTATTGTGCTGCTTAGTATTATAGAATCGGTTTGTCTGTTGCTGAATCCAGAACTCAGTTTAAAATTCTAAGCACATACCAGTCAAAGAAGGCTCAAGGAATATTAAAACTTTTTTTTAAAAGATTTATTTATTTATGCATACAGAACTGAGGTATAGGCCAGAGGTACAGGCGTGGTGAGAGGATTCACTAGAGACAGTGTGGGGGGCAGAATAGGCAAACTTAGGAAGTACACTGCTGAGGGGAGCAGCGATTGAGACAGGAGAGGTCTGCTGCTGCTCCATGTGGGTCACCCGTGGCAGAACTTGTGCTGAAGCAGCAGTGGCCAGCCTCCAAGTGCTGCACTTCAACCCATTGTGCCACCTGGGAAGACCCTAACATGTCTTTTCAGTGGATATGACTTAATAAACAATTCTGCTTTTGTTAGACCTAGGAAAAGACATGGTATTGACAGTAAATTAAACCAGTTTCTCATAAGGCAGCAGTGTGATGCCCTTGAAACAGGGCTGAGGCTGTGCAATACAGATGGAAAGGGGCCTTCCTGGTGGTGTAAGGGGTTAAGTCTTAGCAATATAAATTTATTAGCAGCCCTGCGGGTCAAGTTCAATCCCTGACCTGGGAGCTGACCCACATGACACAGCAGACCTCTCTTGTCTTGCCTGCTGCTCCCCTCGGCAGTGTATTTCAGAAAATCTGCTTATTCTGCTCCCCACTCTGCTTCTGGTGAATCCTCTCACCCCCAGAGATCTGTCCTGTACCCCAATTCTTCCATGTAAAAAGAAATTAAATCTCAAAAAAAAAAAAAAAAAAAAAGAGCAGGGTCAAAGGCAGCAGCAATGGTTTAAGGGTCTCTCAAAGGTTATAAAGGCCTGGAGGTTTGAAGCTCATGAGGGTTTTGAAGGTTTTAGCAGAGGTGGTACCACAGCAGCCAGCAACAGCAATTTGAAGGCCAGGTAAGGTAGTCCTGGACACTGGGCTGGTTGATACCAAGACAGCACCACCAGAGTGTGGTGCTGGACGTGTCAGAGGAAGAGACTAATGTTATAGTTCTCAGATGGGTCAGGTCTGAAAAGAAGTGGTGCTAGAGGCTTGTACAAGGTTCAGTGTTAAAGCTCATTAAGTCTTCCAGAGGAACACTCTCTCTTTCTCTTTCTCTCAATTTCTCTCTCTCGCCTGGGGTATATACTCTTCACGGTGCCTGCCTTTCAAACCTGTTTGGAACCCTGAATCTACCAGGTGAATTTACTGAACACTGGTAAAGAAAATGATGGTAGATATAAATCCCAGTGCCAAACTTTAAACATATACTGGTCTATTTTGGAAGCATTGTATGGCTAACTGTTTTCATATGTTCCCAGTACCATCTGATCTGCATATTATTAAAAGTGAGAGTCTCATTTACAAAAAATAATTAAGAGGCTTCACTACTGGTGTACATAAAACTAACAGCAGCTGGATAGATGCTGGCATTTTTGGTTGAAAAGAAAAAAAGTAATTAGGCCCAGAGGACAGATTCCATAACCAAGGTATTAAAACCCAGGTGGAACTCAAAGGACACCTTCCTAAATTATTTTTCAAAATGTTTGCCAAATGAGCTCTCTGAGAATAGTGTTGGCTGACCCATTGGTGTGGTGTGGTGCAGAAACTCCCTATTGCAGTTCTTTCTCCCAAACAGATGGGGATCCAAACTATACATTACCCATATATTATAGGTTCTTCTCAGAGCTGTCATTATTCGGCAACATTTGTAAAGATCCATGCACCGTGGAGCGATTAGGAAGACAGGAGTCTTCTTTTTTAAAGGTTTATTTTATTTATTTATGTATACTAGGGCTGGCGTGTAGGCCAGAGGTGTGGGGAAACAGGTGAGAGGATTCACCAGTAACAGAGTAGGGAACAGAACAGGTGTATCTACTGATATGCAATGCTAAAAGGAGCTATGGGCAATACTGGAGAGGTCTGTTGGGTCATATATGGGTCAGGTCCCGGGCTGGGTCAAACTCAGGCCTTAGTAGTGATAGCTCTGAGACTTAACCACCATGCCAACAGGGAGGACCCCCTTTCTAGATATTTTTATGTATTCAGTCAAGTACATATTTATGTGGAATAAGAATTTTTTTTTTGATAGATGAAATCAGTCTACATAGTGTTCTGCATTTGAAGCTTGCTCCCTTTGTTTAACAGTGTCATGAGACTTTCTTCCAATATAATACATAGAATTCTTCCTTTCCTGTTTGCCTGTGTAATTGCTACATAGTAATAAGAAATTTAGTTATTCTCACTGGGTAAATTTTTTAAATTCAGTTAGTAATTGCACTAGCCACATCTTAAGTTCTTAGTTGCCCATGCAGCTAGTGGCTACTTATCATACAATGAATGGATATAACATTTCTATCACCATAGAAAGTTCTGTAAGCTGGCTCTGATCTGAAGTTGTCTGGGGGAAAAATATCACCTTAATGTAACAATTACATAATTCAAGGTCTCCTTCACAATTTTTCTTTAGGAATTGAAAAGATGCCATAGCATTAACCAGAGACAATTAAGGAGAAAAATTCATATTTGTATATACTCTAACATAATTATATTTTTTTATTTTTGTATTTTCTTCTAATTCTTTTTATAGGAATGTAGTTTTTTCATACTTGGGATTACTATGTGTATATTATATTGTGTTGTACTTTTGTCATGCATTTATTGAACATTATAGAATGGTTCCATGTATGCTATTTTGTGATATTAAAGCATAATAATAGTGATTTCCTTATATTTGGGGATTCGGATAATTTCTGTTTTCGCTATCAAATCTTAGTGTAAATAATTTTATAAAAAGCATCTTTATGAGATGCACTCCCTAAAGTAGGATTACTGGGAAAGATTATATATTCAGCTTTCTGGCATTTGTTGCATTTTGAGAGATTTAAGTCTCATACGGAAAGAAGACAGGAATATTTTACTGGAAAGATTAGGTAGGATGACTCAGCAGTGGAAAATGATCTCTGCAAAAGCAGTGAAGGCAAACAGAAGAAGTGATAAAAAGCTTAGCAATAAATGTGCTTTGTGGAACAGATTCTTACTTACAGTTCTAAAAATCTTAAATTTTAACTAAAGATATGACTTTAAGGTGGGAATAAATGTCTAACACATTTTTCCTAGATGAAGCAGATGATGACGATGATCCAGAGTATAATTTCCTGGAAGATCTTGATGAACCGGACACAGAGGATTTCCGCACTGACCGGGCAGTAAGAATCACCAGTGAGTCTGTTTTTAATGAGTCATGCTCTTGACTGCTCCTCATTTACCTTTATTTACTTTGCAGATTTAGGGGTGAACTTAGAAGTTAAGATATCAAGCTTCTCTAAACATTCACTTCTGTAATTCCTAAATTTAAATATTCAGGAGACTATCAGTCATTCACTTATATATTCCACAATCATGTACTGAGTCCCTAATATTTGGCAGGGATTTTTCTTTTTTGGGCAGGGATTTAAAAAAAAGATTTATTTATTTATTTATGCATACAAGAACTGGAGTGCAGGCCAGAGGTGTGAGGGGTGAGAGGATTCACCAGAGACACAGTGGGGAGCAGAGCAGGCAGATTGAAATAAACTGCTGAGGAGAGCAGCGGGTGAAACAGGGGAGGTCTGTGCCATGTGGGTCACCTCCTTGGCCAGGGATCAAACTCATGATGCGGTGGCTGGGGATCGATTCATAGTGCTTGGCTTTAACCCTTTGTGCCACCAGTGAGGCCCCAGGAATTGTTACTCATATACCAAAATGAGTAAGACATGTCTTCTGCCCTTAGCATGTCAGGGAATCTTAGTTGGAAGTCAAATACATGCAATTAAAACACAAGTGATAGGTGTTATAGTAGATTATATATAATAATGATCTAAAAGAGGATATAAATTTTCCAGAATCTTGCATGAGTACAATGGGAGAGGTTTGGGAAGGTGTCTTAAGAGATGTTGTAACTTAGTTTTGAAGGGGATATAAAGACATTTTTGGTGAATGGGGGCAGAGGAGGATATTATAAATAAATAGGGAAGCATCTATAAACTATGAGTTGTGAAAAAGCAATAAATGTGTTTGGGTGATTTTAAGCAGTTTGATAAAACTGTGAGTGAATGGTAGTTTCAAAAGATAAGCAGGTGCAAGTCATGGAGAACTTTTTTTTTTATCTTTAAAAAAAATTTTTTTTAAAACTTATTTATGTATCCAGAACTGTGATACAGGCCAGAGGTGCAGCAAGAGTAGTAGAAGATTCACCAGACTCCACAGTGTGGAGCAGAACAGTCAGATTGACGAAGTACACTGCTGAGGGGAACAGCAGTCGAGACAGGAGAGGTTTGCCGTACCATGTGGGTCACTTCCCATGCTGAAATGGCTACAGCTAGCTCTCTAGTGCTGTGCTTTAACATGTTGTACCACCAGGGAGGGCCCTCATGGAGAACTTTAAACTTGAGTTTTGTTCTATCAAAAAGGAGATCTCAAAGTTTTAAGCATCAAATCAATAGGAATTAACTGGGATTTTAGAAGTTCTTTTTGATTTAATACCAATTTAGTGTATTGAGTTGGTGGTAAAGAGCAAGATTGAAGGCATAGAAAACAAATGTCTGATCTGAATGATATGAAATAATTTAGAATTATTATTATTATTATTTTTTAAGAATTATTTCATTGACTGGCTTTCCAATAGTGGGAAACATATTTCAGAAACTGCTAATTTTATTGACCTTCTACTGGAATGGTATATGCAACATGGTAAAGATAAGGTATTGACTATTGATCAAGTTGTGGAAAAGTGTCCAAAAGTTTTTGCTGAGGCCTTTCTGGTGGCTCTAAAGGTTAAGGCAGACCATTGCTCACCTCAGCAGTGTAACTTCATCAGTCAGCCTATTGTGGTCCCCACTTTATGTTTAGTTAATCCTCTCACTGCCCTGCACCTCTGACCTGTACCCCAATTCTGTATTCATAAGCAAATAAATCTTTAAAAAAAGATTTTTTTTCTACATTGCTGGCAATACTTACCTATTAAATAATGCACTTATCTGGGATGACTGAGTGCAGGGTCATTTTTTCTAATAGAGTAGAAGTTTTACTTTTTGTTCCTTTCCTAAGTTTTTTTCTTCCTGTGCCAGACATACCAATTTTCTTCATTTCTCTAAATACTATAGTTTCCAGATCTCTCACCACTACCAAGTTATCTTTATTTTTTAAAAATTTATTTATTTATGTATGTATGGACTGGAGTGTAAGCCAGAGATGGGGGTAAGGGGGGTGAGAAGGAAAGGATTCACCAGAGAGAGAGGGAAGCAGAACAGGTGGATCTGCTGAAACACACTGCTGAGGAGAGCAGTGCGTGAAGCAGGAGAGGGCTGCTGTGCCGCATGGGTCAGTCTCTGTCCGGGGATCAAACTCATGCTGCAGTGGCTGGCAATAGCATGATAGAGCTGTCTTTAACCCCTGTGCCACCAGGGAGACCCCCTTCCCCAAGTTATCTTGTTTTCTGAATTCTAGCCTTTATTTTAAAAAAATTTTCTCCCCCACTACATTTAATCATACTTTTCAGACATGGAATGGTGGAATGAATTATACAGTGGGCATCCTTATACATACCATTTAGTGTCTATTAATAACTGGTAATACATTTACATTTTCCTACAGTTATTTATATCTGTTGCTATTCATTTCTGAATCATAACTTTTTGGGGTGTGAATTTCAAGATAAGTTGTAGTGAAGTTGTACATTTCACTCCTAAACATTTTTTTTATATATAATAGTTTATTTTTACATCATTTTGTGCATTTTCCATCTCAGTTGTAATCCCCATGAGCTTCCAATCACCAAATCACCCGTGTGCCATCATCATAGTCCAGTGCATTTCCCTTCCCTCACTGTTTTTGATCCCATTCCTGACTCCACCCCCATAAAATGTCTCTGGTATATAGCTGTTCATCATTATTATTATTTTCTCGCCTGGTCCATTCTACTGCTATGAGTGAAACCTTATCCGGTATTTTTCCTTTTCTTTCTCGCTTATTTCACTAAGCATGATCTTTTCCAGCTCCATCCATGTTGCTGCAAAAGATGTGCGTTTCTTTTATTTTGGTTGCTGAGTAATATTCCACTGTGTAGATGTACCACATCTTTTTAACCCAGTCATCCACTTTTGGGCATTTGGGCTGTTTCCATGTCTTTCCAATTGTAAATAAGGCAGCAATAAATATGGGGGTGCAGGTACCTTTTTGAATTAGTATTTCTATGTTTTTTGGGTAAATACCTCAGTCGCTCCTAAACATTTTGAAGTGGTGCTATAGCAGTGCTGTTGCAGGTCAAAGAACATTGCTGAGGGAGGGTATAGGTCACTAGCTATGGATTTTCATCTGTACTGTTAATTGCAAGACTGCTCAGGCTCCAAAACAACAATGGTGGGATTTGTTCAACAAGGGAAACAAAAAATTTGTAAGGCTACACATGGCTGGCTTTCCAGACATTGTTCAAAGTGTCCAGATCCCAAATCTTGAGAGCAGATGGCACTATCCTGTCACTGAGGGTCTGGAGCTTGTAGACTGGCAAGCTTTGCCAGTTTATGGTGTCAGCTGTAGGTGCTCACAGGTCGGGCTGCTGAGATGACACTACAGCAGGCTTCTTCTGGGAGCTTAACTTGTTGGCCTGGGACTCCATGGGTCTCTACTGCCTGCAGATCCAGGGAGCTACAGCAGTGGAGCTGGTCTGTTGGAACCCGACGCTCCTCCCTGAAAGCTTTTGTGGGCATATATTCATTATTCTTGACTAGGTTTCTAGGAGAGAAGTCAATGTATAGATGTGTAGTTAGTTTTATAAGAACTTGCCAGACTGGGCCTTCCTAATGGTGCAGGAGTTATAGTCTCAGCTATCTCTAGCCACTGTAGCATGAGTTTGATCCTTGGTCAGGGAGCTGACCCACACGGCACAACAGACCTCCCTAATTTGCCTGCTGCTCCCATCAGCAGTGTATTTCAGTAGATCCACCTGTTCTGCTCTCCATGTTGTCTGTGGTGAATTCTCTCACCCCACCGTACCTCTGGCCTACACCTTAGTTCTTTTATTTATAAATAAATAAAGTAAATCTTGAGAAAAAAAAAAGAGAACCTGCTAGACCCTTTTCCATTTTACTTTCTCATTAGAGTTCCAATTGTTCTATATCCTCACCAACATTTCTTTTTTAATGCCCTCTTAAGAGTACGTTTATAAAATTGGTTACATCCTCTAGATATGATTTATGACTCTAATTCACTGATGTATTTGACTTTTTGGAGCAACTATAATGAACTTCTGTCAACCAAAACTTTCAGATTTTTTCATATTGTTATTGAGCCATGTTCATACATTTTAAAACCTGTGTTTTTTTTTTAAAGCCTAAACATGTGACTTTAATTAATTAATCCCCATTCAGCTAATCACAGAAAACAGAATTTTAGATCTATCATCACTTGGTCTGAAAATCCTTTACAGCTTTGTCTTTTCTATAGACAAAGTATGTTTTGTGGAGTTGCTGAGAAATTCAGGTCTGCAGACAGGGTCCTCCGACTCTGTGCTAAGAGAGTGCTCTCTTGAGTCCACTCAGTAGGGCTGGCCAACATGAATTCATTGTTATAAATTGTCTGATTCAACATTTTATGTGTGCCTTCCCAGTAAAATTTAAGCTTCATTAAGATTAAAACTCTACTTAGTTCATTGTTGTACCCCATTATCTTTAATAGAAGTTGAAGATTATTAGGATTTAATAAATGCTTTTTAGTAAAGAAATGATACATAAATAAGAGGATTTTGTCAAATGCCTTGTGGAAAACAACATACATTGTTTTCTAACAGCGTACTGTTTGACATTTTGCAGAAAAGGAAGTGAATGAACTGATGGAAGAGCTCTTTGAAACTGTGAGTTATGATCCTTGAGTGAGGACTTGGGATGGTAAAGTGGATTCTCTAACAGGCCCTGTCCTTTGTTCTCAAGCCCCCACCCTCCAGAAAGTTAGCCTGACTGAGCCAGTTACCCCTTTTTGTCCACTCAGAAGAGAATATAGTGGCAGGATAATTTTGCTAGCTAATAAGCTCTTGATTATCTGCATGTAGTTTATTCATAGTAATGTTTTCCTTGCAAAGTTTTGGGTAACCTTCCAACTGTCAATTATTACATCTTTAGCGATGCACAAAATTTAATCTGAACAGTAATCTTTCTCGTAACTTTGGTTTTGAAATATGTTTATAGTCATTTTGAGTTTCCTGTGCTTTGTCCTTACCACTGCCAAGTTGTAAGTCATCCATTTGCAGATTGTAGAAGTGTTGAAGTAAGAAAGGTTCTGATGAAAGTTTTTCCTGAGTGCCAGCATTGTTAAAGTGCTATGATTTGTAGTCTCCACTTTCCCTTTGTGCTGCTTGAGTGACAGGCATACCTCCTTTTCCTTTGCCCTTAGTTTCAAGATGAGATGGGATTCTCCAACATGGAAGATGATGGACCAGAGGAGGAGGAACGTATGACTGAGCCTCGACCTAACTTCAATACCCCTCAAGCCCTACGGTTGGTTAACTAAAAACGTTGAGGTTTATAATGGAGGAAATGTTTATGTCTGAAAAGGTTTTTCAGAAATTTAGTTAACAATTTCCCATTCCTAACTGCCTGTTGTCATTGATAAGAAGATGTAGAATCTGTAGAGGGTTAAGTTTTGGGTGAATAATTCTCCTTGTTATGGGGCAGTGCAGCTATAGACCAAGCTGTATCTGTTTGGGAAGGGAGAAAAAATAGTAGCTGGCCTCCATAGCAGCTTCTCCAGGTGAGTGGTTCTGGAGAGGTGTGTAGGATTTTATGTGGCCAGCCACAGAAACTACCCCAAGTTGTAATAGCTACCATATCCCTTTGTTCTCCTTATTTATTATTAACATCTGGTAAATGTTAGTAAAAATGTGGCAAGTCACTGAGGCATTTTGAACAAGCCATGAAGTACCTGCAGTACCGCCCTGGAGTCTAAGCTCATGTACTACCCTCTTCACATATAGTTGGCACTGTTGCTTCACTGGAAATGCAGACTTTAATTTTTTCCCACTATGATGAATTTTCATAAACTGTTAGTACTTTAATGTAATTTGAGACTGCAGTTATTAGTATCTGACTGGAGATCAGGGCGTGGTTTGTGCCTTGGGTAGAACAAAGCCAAACTTGGCCCCTCCCTGGTGGTACTGCTTAAAGCTCAGCACTGCAAGCGAGCCCCAGCTGCTCTGGGGCGCGTTCCATCCCAGGCCGGGAGGTGACCACATGGCGTGATCCTCTCCTGACCCTCCCACTGCTCCCTGACCAGTGTACTTTGTAGATCAGCCTGTTCTCCTCCCCACTCTGTCTCTGGTGGATCTTCTCACTGGCTCTGCACCTATGACCTGTACCCCAGTTCTGGATGCACAAATAAATAAATCTTTAAAAACAACAACAAAAAAGCAAAACTTAAAAGAGACCCTCAGTCTCTAATTAGTTCAGTATTTTAACTTAACAGCATTATCTAACTACAAAGCTGGTATCCATCTGAAAACTAGGCCTTCAAGGGATTTTATTTAAACTGTAGTGAAAAGGCCAAGGTATACTAACCAACGTATATGCCAGTCACACTCCATTGTGATAAATACTGTAATATATAAAGGATTACCAAAATCTTAAGATTCCCCCTTTTCAGCTTTTTGAGATATTGACAAGTAATACTCTAAAATATTGGAAGTATACACTGTGGTGATTTGATATACATTATAAAAGGATTTCCCATATAAAGTTCATTAATACTTCCTGTAGCCTCACATATTTACTTTTTTTTTTTTTGATAACTTTTTCAAAATTGCTGAGAGTCGGTTTTTGACCCATTTATTTCAAGCAATAATAGAACAAAATTATGGCAGAATGGAACCTTTGATCCTGGGATCTTATTATAATGGGGTTTGATTATAGACATATTTCAGTTCTTTCATGCACAGAGTCTTTAAATTTAGAAATTATGTAACTCTTTTGAAATCCAGGAGATTTCAGATTTAGTTACCTTTTGATATTCAATAGATCTGTTGGGTCTGCTCCCTCTTGACTTACAGTTTGGAGAAAGTGAATTATGGACACACCCCTTCTAGCAGTCCAAGCGATGCATATTAAAATCAGATGCAGGCGATTTCTTTATTACCTACTTTTTCATGTGTCTGCTCTGCTGTTCTCTGTTAGTAGGGCAGATAATCAAAAGAATTTTCAGTTCTCAGTAAAGGCTGTACAGAGGTCAGTCCCATATCTTTACCTGCCTAGACCTGAAGTATTTTAAAAGGAAACATAATCATTACCTTCAGTGACTACTTTAAAAAGTTCTTATCATTTAACTATTGCAACAGTATAGAAGACTTCTTGTCATAAAATAACCTGCTTATCATAGCTACCTGAGCTGGTCTCATCCTGATTGCATGCTCAGCACATACTTACTCACTTACATGTCTTGTTCTAGCCCACTAGGTATTTGGGTTCTTGCTTCAGCCCTGGACACAGTCTCATGTGACTCTCTTTTTTCTCTCAGGAGGTAGGGTTGGTAAGAGAGGGTTAGAAAATTTAAAGGAATTAGTGCCCTCCCTGGTGGCACAGCAGGTTAAAGCACAGCACTAAGAAGCTAAAGCCACTTCAGCATGAGTTCAATCCCTGCCCCTGGAGGTGATCCACATGGCGAGGCAGACCTCTCCTGACCTGCCCGCTGCTCCCCTCAGCAGTGTACTTAGTCGATCTGCCTGTTCTGCTCTCCACTCTGTCTCTGGTGAATCCTCTCACCTTCCACGTCTCCAGCCTGTACCTGTTCTGTATGAATAAATAAATAAATCTTAAAAAAAAAAAATGGGTTGTATTAGTATCATGCAGAAATGAGTTTCTATTAGTTCTTTGTTTTTTTAAAAAAAAAACATTTATTTATGTATGCATACAAGATCTGGGGGTACAGGCTAGAGGTGCAGGGGTGAGAGGATTCACCAGACACAGAGTGGGAGCAGAACAGATGGGTGACTGAGATACATTGTGGAGGGAAACAGAGGCGAGACAGGAGAGGTCTGCTGTGCCATGTGGGTCAGCTCCATGGCCGGGGATCGAACTCTTGCTGCAGTGGCCGCCTATAGATTGATAGCACTCTGTCTTCTTCTTCTTCTTTTTTTTTTTTTAATTACAAAAGTTTATTTTTACATCATTTTGTACATTTTTTTTCCATCTCAATTGTAATCCTCGCAGGTTTCCCATCACCAAGTCACCCATGTGCCATCACCATAATCCCGTGCATTTCCTTCCCCCTACCCCGTTTTTGATTCCATTCCCCACTCCACCCCCACAAAATATCTCTGGTATATGGTTGTTCATTATTTTTGCTATTTTCCACCTGGTCCATTATACTCCTGCTATGAGTGAAGCCATCCGGTATTTTTCTTTCTCTTTCTGGCTTATCTCACTAAGCATGATCTTTTCCAGTTCCATCCAAGTTGCTGCAAAAGACATGTGTTTCTCTTTTTTGGCTGCTGAGTAATATTCCATTATATATATGTACCACATCTTTCTAATCCAGTCATCTACTTTTGGGCATTTGGGCTGCTTCCATGTTTTTCCAATTGTAAATAAAGCAGCAATAAACATGGGGGTACAGGTATCTTTTTCAATCAGTGTTTTTGTGTCTTTTGGGTAGATACCTAGGAGTGGGATTGCTGCGTCATAGGGAAGCTCCATGTTTAGCAGTTTGAGGAACCTCCAAACAGTTTTCCATAGTGGTTATACTAGTTTGCATTCCCACCAGCAGTGCAGGAGAGTTCCTTTTTCACCACATCCTCGCCAACATTTGTTGTTGCTAGTTGTTTGAAGATGTGCCATTCTCACTGGGGTGAGGTGGTATCTCATTGTGGTTTTAATTTGCATCTCCCTTATTACGAGGATAACACACTGTCTTTAACCCTGCATCACCAGGATGGCCATCCCATTAGTTCTTAAACACTTTGTTATTCAGATGCTTTTTGATCCTAAATTTTTGTTTAATTTCCTCTCATATATTTCTTAGGGGAATGGTAATAGAAGAATGGGAGGAGAGGTTTGCATTTCAGAACTTTTCTATTTGAATCTGGTAACTTCTGGGAAAGATCTACATAGGCTATAAGTCTGCTTTTTGGCTAGTATAGGACTTGGGGATGAGCAGTAGAAATTATTCAGTCTCTCTTAGCCCACCATTACAAGGGCTTGGGCATGTTATAGGAAATGTTCATAATTAATTTTTTTCCTGTTGTGGATAGGTTTGAAGAGCCACTGGCTAACTTGCTAAATGAGCAACATCGGACAGTGAAGGAGCTCCTTGAACAGTTGAAGGTGAAGAAATCTTTAGGCAAGCAGCAGCCAGAGGTAGAGAAGGTTAAGCCCCGGAAAGTTCAACAAACTTTGATTCTGGACCTAGCACAGAGGAAGAGACTCCAGCAGCAAATGCAGCAGGTAACACTTCCGTGGCCTGATATTGATGCTCCAGATGAGCAATTTTGTAAAAGTTAGAAAGAATTGTCTTGATACTCATTAATACTTTAGGAATAGAGGACCGTCTCATTAGATCTTGGAAGGTCATCATACTTGGGTCCTTATAATTCAGGCAAGAATACACATAAGGACCCTTATAGTTATATAATACATATAATACATATAAGGACCCTTATAGTTCAAACTTAAGTTTTTAAAGAATTCTTAATAATCTTTTATAAACCTGGGCCCTCCCTGGTGGCTCATCAGGTTAGAGCACAGCACTAAGAAGCTAACCCCGGCATTCAATCCCTGTCCAGGGAGATGACCCATAATGTCACAGCAGACCTCTCCTGTCTTTCACCTGCTGCTCCCCTCAGCAGTGTACTTCATCAGTCTTCCTGTTCTGCTCCCCACTTTGTATCTGGTGAATACTCTCACCACACCCTGCTCCGCTGGCCTGTACCCCAGTTCTGTATGCATTAATAAATAAATCTTTTTAAAAAATCCATTGTAAACTTAATACCTATCACTGTCATACTAGTTATTTCCTCTTTATAATCTCAGTCTCTCTGGTTTCTGGTTAAACTTCCACTGGCTGTATAATTTTGTTCAAGGGGAACATATTGAAAATATGAAGATACTATATTATTTTCATAGTCTCTCCACAAAAGATAACATGTATGGGAGCTTCCCTGGTTGTGCAAGGGATTAAGACACAGTGCTATGAATCTGTCTGTAGCCACTACAGCATGAGTTCAATCCCCTATCAGGGAGCTGATCTACCTGGCACAGCAGGCCTCTCCTGTCCTGCCTGCTGCTCCCCTCAGCAGTGTATTGCAGTACATCTGCCTGTTCTGCTCCCAACTCTGTCTCTGTGAAGCCTGTAGCCCCCCACATCTCTGGCCTACACTCCAGCTCTTGTATGCATAAATAAATAAATCTTAAAAAACACGCATGATGAAGTTTCAGATCTTGATAAGCTCTTCTGGGTTCCTGAAAGGAGATTGTGACATATATATCATTTTCTTTTCATTACCAGCATGTTCAGCTCTTGACACAAATTCACCTCCTTGCCACCTCCAACCCCAATCTTAGTTCAGAGGCTGCTACTACCAAGATATTTCTGGTAAGATTCCAAATATCCCTAAATTAAGTTGTCTAATGGGATCATATTAATTATAGAAGATTTTGTGATGTTTTTTACCTGTTTTTATCCTGTTATGGGAAGGATAGTTTTCTCTCTCAAATCCTAATTTCTCCTGTTACTAATTTTCTGGAACTCTGATCTCCTTTGTGTCTGTCTTGCTTTCTCAGAAAGAGCTAGGAACCTTTGCTCAAAGCTCCATCGCCCTTCATCATCAATTCAACCCCAAGTTTCAGACTTTGTTCCAGCCCTGTAACCTGATGGGAGCTATGCAGCTCATTGAAGACTTCAACACACATGTCAGCATTGACCAGAGTCCTCGTAAAACTGTCAGGAAGACTGGTAGGGGACAGATATGTCCACTTCAAGTTTTTACTTGCAGTGGGAGGTGGGAGTCTTATCCCATAATTTCCTAGGAATAAAGTAGACAGGACATTTGTAATTTTTTCCTGCTCTCTTTTATCTTCCCTTTGTACTCATTAGTAAGTTCTAGAAATACAATATATTTGGGCTTATAAATAAGGTATAGTCAGTAGATAGAACATGATTGTGCCAGGTAGATATGTGGGACTGAAGTAGGTCTGAGGATAAACACTAGGAGTGAGGGCAAGACAAATGGAATCCTGTAAACATGGAAGTCAGGTGGTAAAGCTGGGTCTTGGTATATTTTTAATTCCTACTAGGATCAACTCATTTTATTTTCCTTATGTATTACAGTGCTAACTCCATTTTGAATGAAATATTAATTTGGGAGGAAGGTACAAATTAGATAGTGTACATTTGTCAGGTTCAATATTTTAAAGAAATTTATAGGTTTGGGTTTATTGAGGAAATGTTGCTTTTCCCTTACAAATACTTGCTTCTGATTTGTGACCTGGTTTACCAAATAAGTTATGGTTTGTTGTGAATTTGGTTTTGCCTTTGGATTTGATTTTAAATCCCTGACTCTTAAGTTATATTAAATATAGTTTAAGTGCATTATGTTCTAGATACTGATCTCAAACTACTTTATTGGTTATTAAAATTTAGTTTAACACCAAAGTAATAGCTTAACACATGGGATATCTTTTGTTTTTCTTCTGGGGATGCAAAAATAACATTTATGGAAGGAGGAATTTGGGTATAGAGGTGTCTATAGAGGGAGAGAGGATTTGAGAGGCTCAGACAGCAAGATAGAAATGAATGAGACTGAATTGTCTCATTCCTTTTGGTTTTTCTGTTCCTAACCTCAGGAGGAATCTGGGAGAATTTAAAGTTAAGTAAGAATCAAATAAAATAAAAATTGGAGCGCCAGATATGTGAGGGAAATTAAAGAAGTTGGAATCTTATCCTGGAAGAAAGACAGAATTGTTGAAGGTCACTTATCTTTCAAGGATTTAAAGGGGGAAGGAGGTAAAACAATTTTGAGTATACACTAAATGCAGATATTTTACCAGGTACTTTATAAGTATTTATATATCTTAGTATGTCAAATGTTCCATATAGGAAAGAACAAGAGAATTGCCTTTATGACATTGAGTGGGGACTCCCTTTAGGCATGTTAGACTGAGAGAGACTGTGGAAATTTTCTGGGAAGGGTTTGTGGGGGGAAGGTGGTTAAATTAGGTAGGAGATGCAGAAGTGCATTTAGAACCTTCAGTGAGTCCTGTTCAGTTCTAGAATTTCATTTATCATAAACTTTTTTTTTCTTACAGCCTCTGAATTTCCCTGTTTGCCAAAGCAAGTAGCTTGGATCCTGGCCACAAACAAGGTTTTTATGTATCCTGAGCTGCTTCCAGTATGCTCTTTGAAGGCAAAGAATCCTCAGGAAAAGATCTTTTTTACCAAGGCTGAGGACAAGTAAGGAGTTTACTGTGGGGAGTGAAAGCATAAAACGATAAGAATACCTGTGGGTTTTTTTTTTTTTTTTTTTCTGAGGAGCTTAGGGGAAATTATGCATATGTAATAAAATGTGGACACAGAAGATAAAATAAAAAGCAGGGTAAACAGGAATAGTTCTGTAGTTTGAACTTGTTTTTAGCCACACCAAAGACTACTTTTGTGGAAATGATATACACAACTTGCAAGCTTTTTTTTTTTTTTTTTTAAGATTTATTTATTTATGCTTACAGAACTGGGGTACAGGCTGGAGGTGTGGTGAGTGAGATGATTCACCAGAGACAGAACAGGGAGCAGAACAGGCAGATTAGCAAAGCATACTGCTGAGGTAGCAGCAGGCCATGCATGACCTTCAGAAGAAGTCTACCATGGCATGCCGGTCAGCTCCCTGGCTGGGAATCAAACTCATGCTGCAGTGGCTTCAGAGAGCTTCATAATGTGTTGCTTTAACCTGTTGCGCACTAGGGAGAACTGGAAGCATTTTTCCCCCAAGATTTATTTTTATTATTTATGCATACAAGAACCAGGGTGTAGGCAGAGTTGCAGGGTTGGGGGGTGCTTGGGAGAGGGAGAGGACTTATCAAGACAGAGTAGGGAACAGAACAGGCAGATCTTCTGAAAAACACTGCTGAAGGGAGCAGTGGATGAGACAGGAAAAGTCTTTTGAGCCATGTGGGTTCGCTCCCTGGCCAGGGATCAAACTTATGCCACACTGGCTGATAATAGCTTGACAGTGCTGAGACTTAACCCCTGTACCACCAGGGAGGCCCCTTCAAAGCATTTTAAATTGTTTTTTATTTATTATGGAAATCAGGCTTTGGCAGCTTTTAATAGACCTGTCCTTTCCAGGGCTAGCTCTCCTGCCTACCTGTAACTATGTAGATGTTTCTTTGCCAAACCTTTTCCCTTTGCAAAGCAGCAATAGCAGCAGCAGCTTTTTCTGCCTGCTTGTGTCTGTGCAAGAACCCTTTTTATCCTTTCCTATTTTTATATAAGAAACTTGCCCTTTTAGACATTTATTCAAAACAAAATCAAGCTTGTAATATTGTTTTTTTTTTTTTAAGATTTTATTTTTTGCTTAGAACTGGGGTGTAGCTAGAGGTGTGGGGAGAGGAGGGGTGGGAGGATTCACCAGAGACAAAGTGGGAGCAGAGCAGGCAAATTTACTGAAATATACTGCTGAGGAGAGCAATGGGTGAGACAGGAGAGATCTGCTGTGCCATGTGGGTCAGCTCCCTGGCTGGGGGTCAGACTCAGGCTATCATGGTATGCCTTCTTGGTGGTAATGCTGAGACTTAATACCTAGGCCACCAGAGAGACCAAGCTTGGAATATTGTTAAAGGACATTTCTTTTCTTTCCTTCTTTCTTTTTAAAGTTTTATTTAGACATATAGAACTGAGGTACAGGCCAGATATGCAGGGCTGGTAGAGCATTCACCAGAGACAAAGTGGAGAGCAGAATAGTCAGAGTGACGAAGTACACTGAGGGGAGCAGCGGGCAGGTCATGAAAGGTCTGCTGTGCCGTGTGGGTCACCTTCGGGGCTGGGGATCGAACTCACATTGAAGTAGCTATGGCTAGCTTGCAGTGTTGCATCCTAACCCATTGCAGCACCAGGTAGAGCCTGTTGAAGTACATTTCTAAAGGAAAACATTTTTTAAATCATTATCCTAATCATCCCAAGATAATGATTTTTTCCCTTTGTATTTCTTACTATAATAACTGGCATTTCAAGGAGAATTTTGTTTTGCTTTTTTAATCTAGCATTTTTTTCTAATAGTTTATTTTTACATCATTTTGTGCATTTTTCCATCTTACATGTAATCCCCGTGGTCTTCCCATCAACATAATCCAGTGCATTTCCCTCCCCGCACTGATTTTTTAAAAATAATATAATAGTTTATTTTTACATCATTTTGTGCATTCTTACACCTCAGTTGTAATCCCCGGGGGCTTTCCATCACCAAATCACCCGTGTGCCATCACCGTAGTCCAGTGCATTTCTCTTCCCCCACTGTTTTTGGTCCCATTCCCCACTCCACCCCATAAAATGTCTCTGGTATATGGCTGTTCATTATTATTATTTTCTCGCCTGGTCCGTTATACTCCTGCTATGAGTGAAACCATTTGGTATTTTTCCTTTTTTTCTGGCTATTTCACTAAGCATGATCTTTTCTAGCTCCATCCATGTGGATGCAAAAGATGTGGTTTTTTTTTGGTTGCTGAGTAATACTCCACTGTGTATTTGTACCGCATCTTTTTAATCCAGTCATCCACTTTTGGGCATTTGGGTTGTTTCCATGTCTTTCCAATTGTAAATAAAGCAGCAATAAACATGGGGGTGCATGACCTAGCATCTTTTTGAAATTGGTTTTCTCTTTTATATGGTGCAACATTGCTTTTGGTTTTGTTTCTTTGGTTCTTTTATACTGCCTTTCAAAGCACTATTTAATCACCTTATAATAGTCCTTTTATTTGTCACTAGTTTTTTTTCTCTTTGTCCTCTCTTTTGTTTAGTAATTTTGCCAAGGCTTCACCAAAGATTTTTGTGAACTATTTTTTAAAGATTTATTTATTTATGTATACAACAGCTGCAGTTTAGGGCAGAGGTGGGCAGTGTGAGTGGGCTCACCAGAGACAGAGTGGTGAGCAGAACAGGTGGAATAACTCAAATATCCTGCTGAGGGGAGCAGCGGGCCGGACAGGACCTGCCATGCCATGTGGGTCAACTCCCTGGCCAGGAATTGAACCTGGCTTCAGTGGCTTCGGATAGCTCCATAGGCTTCACTTTTACCTGTTTTATCACAGAGAGGGCCCTACGGAACTTTTGAAAGTCATTTTGGTTTATCCCTTTTGGTATATTTCGAAGAATGAGAGAACCAGTAAATATGTGAACATTTTATGGCTTTTGATATGTGTTACCCCAATGCCATCAGCAAATGTGGACAAAGGTAACTAATTGAATATGTTATATTGGGAAGTCGTGTCCATTTTTATTTTATATCTTTTTTATTTGAACTCTTCTGCTCCTTTTGCATTTCATTGAATTTAGTGATATCACTATAAAGCCATAATCTGACATTTATTAGTGATTTTTGCTTAATTTTTCCCTCTTCTCATTTGATTGTGAATTCTTATTTGAATCTTATTCATAGTACTTATGAGTACTCAGTAATTATCTGAAAATTTCTGTTGAGTAGCCATTAACTTATCTAAGAGTTGGATGTAGAAAATCTAGATTATAAAGTGTGGTGTTAGACTGGGAAGCTTTTTTGAAGAATGGACTTTGAAGTGCAATTTAGTGTTATTGCTCTTTTCTCAGTTTGTTAGCTTTAGGACTGAAGCACTTTGAAGGGACTGAGTTTCCTAAACCTCTAATCAGCAAATACCTTCTAACCTGCAAGACTACTCAGCAACTGACTGTGAGAATCAAGAACCTCAGCATGAACAGGTCTCCTAACAACATTGTCAAAGTAAGTGTTTCCTGCACGTCCCATTTTAGTGTACCCCTTCTTTCTTCCTCTTCTTGGTCTTTTTTTTTTTTTTAAAGATTTATTTATTTATGTGTATACAGAAGTGGGGTACTGGCCAGAAATGCAGGTGAGCAAGAGGATTCACCAGAGACAGAGTGGAGAGCAGAACAGGCTGATTGATGAAGTACACTGCTGAGGGGAGCAGCGGGCGGGTCAGGAGAGGTCTGCCGTGCCATGGGGGTCACCTCCCTGGCCGGGATCAAACTTGTGCTGAAGCAGCTGCAGCTAGCTTCAGTGCTGTGCTTAAACCCAATGCCCCACCAGGGAGGGCCCATCTTTTCTTAGTTGTCTAAGGAGCTCTGTGGCTCCTGGTTTGGTGGTGCAACGATTTGTGCCCAGCTCTGCTGTACCCACCACCTTACCCAGTGTGAGACACCAACCCTGCATAGGTTGGGTCTCACATACTGGAAGGGTTTAGGTTTTGAAATTATGACAATATGAAGTGATTACCTCTAGCTACCACTGTTAATTGTGTTGTGGCCCATTTATATTAGTGTAATGCCAGCTCCAGGCTCTCATTGGAAGGACAACGCCATCATTCACAAGCAGCTTTTGTTTATTTTTTTTAAAGATTTGTTGTTTTTTTTATTTATGCATATAAGAATTGGGGTGTAGGCTAGAGGTGCTGGGGAGTGGGAGATGAGAGGATTCACTAGTCAGAGTGGGGAGCAGAATACATAGATCGACTGAAATACTCTGCTGAGGGGAGTAGCAGACAAGACAGAAGAGGTCTGCTATGCCATGTGGGTCAGCTCCCTCACAAGGATCAAACTTGTATCATAGTGACTGGAGATGACTTGGTAGTGCTGAGATTTTAACTGTGCCACCAGGTAGGCCCAGCTTTGATTTTGTCTACTGTACTCTGTTGACACTAGCTGGGGTAGGACAGATGGTCATTTGTGGCCTTACTCACTTTTTCCTTTTTCCCAATTTTCCCTTTATAAATAAACTCTGCTATTGTTACAATCTGTGTTTGATTTTCCTTGGCATTCTCACTGCATGGGAAAGGACCTATGAACCATGACATTTCCCAGAATTACATGGTCTCAGTGAAGAGAAGGACCTTTTGTGAAAGGCTAATTCCTCTCACCTGTGTGTTAGATTGATTCCCCTGGTGCCTTTCCAGGGACACTGATCCATTTTCTACGTTCTCTGTTGTGGATATTTCCCCCAAATGTAAAATTGTCCAATTCTTAAAATCGTGTTCAGGGCCCTCGTTGGCGGCATAATGGGTTAAAGCATAGCACTGCAAGTGTACAGTGGCATCTTCAGTGAGAGTTCGATTCTCAGCCCCAGAGGTGACCCACATGTCACAGCAGACCTCTCCTCATTGGCCTGCTGCTTCCCTGAGGAGTGTACTTCATTGATCTGCCTGTTCTGCTCCCCACTCTGTCACTGTGAATCCTTTCAGGCCCCTTTACCTCTGACCAGCACCCCAGTTCTGTATGCATAACTAAATAAATCTTTAAAAATTAGTGCTCAAATTTATGTTTCCTTCTAGCCACTCATTTTCTCTTATTGAAATCTTAAAAGGTACACACCATTCTAATATCCTTTTAAATTTTTACTTATTTATACCAAATTTATCAACTATGTATTTGAAAGGCAAATAGTTTTAAGCTGTCAAATAGTTCTGTGAGACTTAGAGTAAAACTATTTTTCTTCCTGTTTCCTGCTAACTGAGGTTTTTTGGGTAGTGTCTTTTCCTCCAGCATACTTGTCATTGCTACCACTTGATGTTTTGGCCTTAGATCCTACTTATTAAAATTTTTTAAAAAAGATTTATTTATTTATGCATACAGAACTGGGGTACAGGCCAGAGGTGCAGTGGTGATGAGAGGATTCACCAGAGACAGAGTCGGGGGCAAAATAGGCTGATTGACGAAGTACACTGCGGAGGGGAGAGGGCAAGACAGGAGAGAGGTCTGCTGTGCCGCGTAGGCCACCTCTTGGGGTGGGGACCAAACTCATGCTGAAGTGGCTGCCCAGATCCTACTTACTAAACTTAAACCATGGAAGACAAAAGAACTCTCCACACTCATATAATCCCACCACAAATACGCATCTCTTCTTGCCCCCAGTTTTCTCACTCTTATCACAACTTTGGCTAAATCATATTTAAGGCTTACCGTCCAAGTACTAAAAGCACTGTGTAAATTCTCCTCACATTTCTGCTGTGTAGTATATCATGTTTACTTTGTTTCTCCTGCTGACCATTTTTTTCTCCTAGAGTTAATAGTTGCATTTTGGGGTTGGGGATGGGACTTGGTTTTATTATATATTATTACCAATTCAGCATTGAAATTTATTGCAGTTTTATAAATATCTTATCAGTGTGTTCAAACATCTTAGGCATCCTATTTTTTTCTGCTTCCTGAAGAAGTCTTCCCTTGAGTCCATTGATGCTATTCCACACTAAAAATGTTGCTTGCTTGACTTGCACTGTCTTCTGGGCTTTTTCTTCATCATCATCTTGGGGATTCCTCTTTTTTAAAAACATTGATTGATTGATTGCTTAGAAGAACTGGGGTGTAGGCCAGAGTTGTGGGGGATGAGCTGATCCACCAGAGACAGATTGGGGAACAGAACCTAGGGATCTACTGAAAAACACTGCCGAGGGGAACAGTGGGCAAGAAAGACATCTACTGGGCCATGTGGGTCAGCTTTTGACCATAGCAGTAACAGTGCAGAGATTTTACTCTAGGCCACCAGGGAGGCCCCTGGATTCCTCTCTCCTCTTTTGTTGTGTTCTCTTCTGAATCCCATTATCTCTTTTTGTTTTACTTCCATGTTATTAGTGGAGCACATCCTTGTAGCATTTAGAGAAGAATGTTTGAGAAACAAATCTTTAGATATAAACTGTTTGCTTTCATGGTGGGTATTATACTAGTATCCCTGTTACTAATGTGCTGTATATGTGCTTTGTATATCACTATGTAATATAAGATCATACCATTGAAGACTGCATAAGACTTCTCTGTATTGTTTTTGCAACTTCTTTTAAATCTATACTTACTCAAAATTAAGAAGTTATTCTTAGGGTCTCCCTGGTGGTGCCTGCCCACTGTTCCCCTCAGCAGTGTATTTCGGTCAACCTGCCTAGTCTGCTCCTGGTTCTGTTTCTGGTGGACCCTCTCACTCCCCACACCTCTGGCTTGTACCCAGTTCTTGTATGCATAAATAAATCTTTAAAAATTTTTATTTATTTTATGTAGTAGAACTAGGGAATAGGTCAGAGGTGTGGAGTGTGAGAGGATTCACCAGAGACAGAGTGGGGAGCAGAACAGGTGGATTGACTGAAATACACTGCTGAGGGGAGCAGTGGGCAAGACAGGAGAGGTCTGCTGCGCCATGTGGTCAGCTCCCTGGGCTCGAACTGGTCTGTGGGTAGCTTCATAGTACTGAGACTTAACACACCAGGGAGGCCTGTACAGTGATTTTTATATGATTTATTATCAGTTATTTTGTTTTTTTTTTTAAAGATTTATTTATTTGTACATACAGAACTTGGGTACAGACCAGAAGTGCAGGGGTGGTGAGAGGCTTCACCAGAGACAGAGTGGGAGCAGAACAGGCAGATCGACGAAGTACACTGCTGAGGGGAGCAGCGGGCGGGTCAGGAGAGGTCTGCCGTGCCATGTGGTCACCTCTGGGGCAGGTGGGAATCGAGCTCATGCGGAAGTGGCATTAGCTTCTTAGTGCTGTGCTTTAACCTGCTGCGCCACCAGGGAGGGCCTATTTTGGTTTTTATATTTGATTGTTTCATTTTTCTGTTGTTTCTTTTTCCATGTTTCCCTCTGTTATTTCTGGATGACTTTCCTTTGGATTTCTAGCATTTTCTTTGTTTCTCTGCCTATTCTGAGTTTTTGTTTAACTTGGTTACCACGAGGTTTTATTTAACTTCCTGTGTCTGAAGTCTTTTATAAGTTGGTGCCTGCTCTGAGACATTTAGCTATGTACCTTCTGTTCTGTTCTTCTCCTTAGTGTTATGTTATTGACTCATAATACTCTTACTTGTGCTTCTGTTTTGTATTGTTATTGTCATTTTATGCAGGCATTTGTGTTTCTTTTTTTCTTGTTTGTCTGAAAAAACCTTTATTTCATCTTCATTCTTGAATGATAATTTTGCTGGACAGAGTATTTCTTGCCTGACAGTTCTTGTCTTTTAGTATTGTGAACACTTCCATCTATTCTCTTCTTGGCTGGTAGTGCCAGGATTGATGTTCACGGAAGTCCTAATTTAGAAGCCTTTGCAAGTTTGTTTTTTTTCCTTGCTTCCTGAAAATTTTTTTAAGTTTTGATAGTTTGACAATGATGTGTGTAGACATAGGGGTTTTTTTTTGCATTTAAAAATTTAGGTGTTCTTTGTGCTTCCTGAACATCCATATTTAGTTCATTCTTTAGGTTTAGAAAATTCTCAGTTATTAGTTCTTTGAATAGACTTTCTGCTTCCATTTCTCTTCATTTTTTGGGATCCTGATTATTGTTAAATTTTCCTTATATTTGAGTGGTATTTTTTTTTTTTAAGATTTATTTATTTGTGCATACAGAACTGGGGTACAGGCCAGAGGCTCAGGGGTGGTGAGAGGCTTCACCAGAGACAGAGCGGGGAACAGAACAGGCAGATCGAAGAAGTACACTGCTGAGGGGAGCAGCGGGCAGGTAAGGAGAGGTCTGCCACGCCATGTGGTCACCTCGGGGGCAGGTGGGAATCGAACCCATGCGGAAGCGGCTCTAGATTCTCAGTGCTGTGCTTTAACCCGCTGCGCCACCAGGGAGGGCCTTGAGTGGTATTTTTTATAGCATTTCCTCATTTTTCCTTTATATTGGTTCTTTCTTTCTAAATGGGTTATTTATTCATGTGAGTCTTTTACATCTGAAATTTTCCTGCCAGTTCAGTTTTTTTTTTTTTAAGCACTTTCTAAGCTTGTCTGCATTAT